TTTAATGTCATGCACATATATCTATATACAAGTCCCCAATATCAGGCGGCCAATTTGTTAATCAGCCACCAAAGAGGGGTGCCGGCGAAAGGCGGCTTATCGCCACACTTGCACAGCAACACCAGAGTGCAAAAGTATAGACATATATGTTGTTCAAACTTCGAAACTGGAGAACATCAGCCACCTTTGGCAGGGAGGACAACGAATTTACAAATTCATTACAGTATTTGTTTGTAGTCATCAAAATACTGAACTGAAGTGCCTTATTATATTAATTTGAAAATATTGATTCATATGATGAAAAATGTCAAAACCGAAGGGTTTGCCTCACCCCAACCTTTCTAAGGTATAGTACATAATAAAATACAATGATAATATTACGAAAGTCACCGAACTGTGGAATCGCATAAAAAATTCGTATATCGACCACTCCCACAAACGTCTACGACCGCGCCTACATAGTTTTGCACGTTTACAATTCTAATTTTAAACAGCCAACTCGATTAAATCATGTAGACTATTGTCCTGAAAGCCTTTCAGCCCGTTCTTTGTTAATGAATATAGAAAACTAAATAGATGCATGCATGTACTCTATTAATTACTAATTGCTCTTACAATAGTTATTTTCTATATGATTTTCTTTAATCTTCTATCTTGTGGATTGGCGGATTGCAAGCTCAAATTGAAGGAAGTGACTGGCGCGTTGGGCCAAATTCAATCACGCAAACAATATATATAGACTTTTAGATTACTTAGCAAATAAATTACACTGGTACCGTGGTCAGCAATTTTGTTTATCTAGCAGTGTATGAAACATGAAAGCATTTTATAAAACGTAGTTTACTGGCGTTAGACTTTAGAAAGAGTACACATGTGCACATAGACTGTGTAACAGACATGCTGTCACAGACATTAAATAGGCGCAATGGCAATGCAAACGTATCGTATTACACCTTGCCGATTGTTTGAATTTTCTGTAGTTAAATCCGTTTTCCCTTCTCATAAATACAGTTACAGACATACAAATATTTGTCTTAAGCGTAAGTAAACATGTAGAGTTGTGAGTAAAGAAAATATAATCAATCAATGTAGCTTATATTTCGGCAAACATACAACTGCAAACGTCCATATGGAGGGCGGCGCGCATTGTGCCACAATACCACAGCGGCTAACAGCGCTCAATTTTAACGCTTTTGGGATGCCAAATGCGCTTTTCGTCTTTAGTTCGTTTCTGTTATAAACGCCCGTTGGAAGCTTCGAAAATTCTAAAGTAGACAATCATGACGCGACAAAGTTTAAACTGGTGAAGCAAATGCGAATGAAGCGCGGTAAACCATACTCAGTTGCCGTTTATTTGTCCAAACGTCTACATGAAATAAATCTGCAAATATACCTTCAAATGAGAGACAACAATCTCCCAAACCCATCTCTGTAAGCCAAGTCTTCATGCCTCTTACACTATTTAAGTTGATGCTTTTCGCCATGAAATTCCTCGCAGTACAGATGAATAATATATGTCTACCAAAGCAGGCACGAGGCACTGAAATTTGAACTTACCGCGTCGTCAGATATGATTTACGTCACTGTCGTTTCACATTTCAAGACGCAAACAAAGCAGGGGATTAAGACAAGACTATCGCTGCGTATGTTTTGATCGCAGCATAACATCACAGAATAAACACCACTGAAATATATACTGTGCATGACCTCTTGTTTTTCTATTTATTAACTATGGTTCAACGGTTGTTATCGTGTGATGAATATAGATGACGTTTACTCTATTCAGGAATCAGGACTTGAAATAACGTTCCCAAAGTTCCCGATCATGATGATCGGCAGTCATGACTTATTGCCGACTTTCGTCGATCATATTTATTCACCGAGCAATTTCTTGCCGATGTTTGATCGGTGGTATTTGTCCTGCTATTTGTGAGTAAAGCCGGTTTGTCCGATGCTGAGTTGATTCACCTGAAGAGTATTGTAGTCAATTTACTCACAAGTTTTGAGTACTGAGGAAACTGTTTGGTACGGTCTTTGAGTAAATTTACCCATTGAGTAAATTTACTCATCACATTTGTGTAGCTGGTGGTGTTTACTCGATATTTCTTACTCAAACATTTACCGGTGTAAAAATACTCGAACCATGAGTGACCAGTACATTCTACTCACATTGAGTAGATTCGCATCTTTACTCAGCTTTGAGCCGGTAAATCGATCAGTCTGGAAAGCATATTAACTCAATGTTAGAGTAAAACATCGATTCTACTCGAGAATAACGAGTAAATATGAAGCAACTTACTCAAATGAGTAATTTTACCGATTATAACTGCGTAAACGATAGTGGTTTACTCAAAATAGTTTACTCAGGTGTTTGAGTTTGAAGTTATACTCAGCATATTCGAGTAAAAATACTCTTAAAACTGAGTAAACATTGCATTTCACGCAAATTTATGTGTTAAAATAACTCAAGCGAAATAACTTTTTGCAGTGTTTGCTAGCTGCAACATCAGAAATGCTAGAAAATGTGTCTTGTGCTGATGACCAGGAAAAAGAAATTACATCAAAATCAACTGCATTTGACCAGGCAGGTGAGGCAGCTCCTCCTCAATTAAGCTTGGAGAAAAAAAAGCTATTAAGAAAAAAGCTTATTGATTTTAGACAGACATTACATGGTTTAGGCAGAAGTTGTGTTGGAAGTGTGAGTCTTTGCACAGGTTTTAGCATGGAACTACTTGAGGAAGTTGTTGGTAATGCAAATGACTTTATGTCAGCAGAGGATATCAACACCAAATTGCCCGTATTCAACACTGAACATGCTGTTGGTATTTTTAAAATTCTCAATGACATCAGATGCGAAAAACAACCAATAGGTATGTAAATATGTATTTATATTTTAAAACTGTATATTCTTAAAACTGGTTTTTCACTTTGGCCATACTGAAAATAATATATACAATGTACATAGTGCACAGTTATTCTGTACATAATATATACAATGTCCATAGTGCTCAGTTATTTTTACGACAAATTTATATTTTAGACCTTATGCATAATGACGCCAGAAGGCTTTATGCCTGCAGGGAATGCTGGTCTTTGTAGTCCCACACAGAAAAAAATATTTCACAATGGTTATTTATGAGTGTCAAAAGCAAATATAGTTTTGTGGCAACACAAACACAGAAATCTGCAATTTCGGTGAGGGCAGAAATCTTTATTTTTTGTGAGCATGCTTGGATATAACTGACAGAGTTTACTTGTGATATACTGGAGAATATCTCATCACAAGCCATTTTGAAATATTGAAAATAGTTGTCTTCCTGCATGCGACTATAAAGACGATTATTCATGGGGAGGGGGGGGGGATGTCAACGAAAACATTTTTACCCAAATTACGTTTATACATTGCCCGACTTCATTATGACTTGTCCCCCTACCCTGTATGCCTATGCCAGTATTCCCGGCAGGCATCAAGCCTTCTGATGTCATGCATTCTATTGTGCAGTTAAAACACAATTCAACAAATTATGTATTTACCTGTATAACTTTAATACCTGGCTACTGTATAATGCATAAAGCTAAAAATCAGCATTTCCATGATGGCAATTTATTAATGTTTACACATAGTTGATCCTAGAGTATTGACTGTTGCATTGCCTGAGTGCTCATTTAAATTAAAGTTCACACACTATCATGCTGATGATATTAATTAACAAAAAAATTTTTGAAAAATATTTGCACCAAAAATTACAAAATCATGTCATAGCATGGAAGAAGTTACACCTTTAATGTGTACAATTAATATAAGCAGGAAATGTTGTTTTTATGGATTTACTGTCGTTCCAATTGAAGTGTTGCTCAAATATTGATTTGAACAATACATTACCTCTGGCTGATCAATTCATTTGATCAAGTTCCTCGAGATATTCATACACTTCCTGTGAAAGAGCCAAGTATTTGATCATTTCTGGTCACTTCCTTTCTATTTATGATTGGTTAGTTGCACAAACAACAAAGGTGATTGGTGCATTCAAACTATTCAACAGGAAGTTTACAATTATACTAGGAAGTGTATGAATATCTCGAGGAACTTGATGAAATGAATTGGTCAGCCCGAGGTAATGTATTGAATCAATATTTGAGCAACACTTCAATTGGAACGACAGTAATAGAAGCCAGTATCCGTCATGTACAAGTGACATTCTATTTGTCACTTCTACATGACGTCACTTCCGTGGTTTGGGAGCTGCCATAGTTGATTATTAAGGCTGTTGCAGACATAGTCATAGAAATTATAACTAGGTTACCTAAAATGTAGTAAATGCTGCCTTTAAGAAGCACACGCCATAAACGTTTTAAAATACTGTTTGTAGTGATTGCAAATCAAAGATGTGTTATCGCATATACGAAATATACTGACAAATAAAAAATTTGAAGCGTAGCCTATAAAACTGCGAAACGTATTAAAATACTATCTAAAATATAGTGAAATATAGCAGTATTAGACTTAATATGAAATCCGATAGTATTTGTCGTTTGTATTTGTACGCGCACTATAAAAACAGCGATTAATTCAACAATTCCACTTGATATATTCTTGCTTAGGGACCATTCATTATTTATGGCTGGGGGTGGGCTGGCAAAAAAAAGGGGGTGGGTCATGAGGTATTTTTGACCGAAAAAGGGGGGGCCACATAAAAATATTGGTTCAGAAGGGGGGGGGCAGCTATTTATTATTGTGATATTATAGTGCAGGAGAAACATTTGACATGTAACGATTATTGCTACCACAGGGAGTGAGCAAGGCAGCAAACTTAATTCATGTATAGCTAGCAAAATTCTCAATTTTAATCAACAGATAGACCCAAAATGCAATGCACAAATACCCAAAATGCAATGCGCACAGCTAATATCATGAAAAATAATCGAACATAAACTTGCCATAAATTGCCAATCGAACATAAACTTGCGATAAATTTTTGTCATATTTCAGTTATGTACATTTTAATCAAAGAAAGATAATTAACCAGTAAGCGTTGTAGCAACATTACGTCCAGTGGTCCAGGGAAAGTTTGGCATATACTATATACACTAGTTTCTACTAGGTATTTTATTCATGGTTTAATTTAGTAAAGAGTTTGTCGGTTTACTGTGTCAAGTCCGAGCCCGAGTCAAATGTCCAAGTCACTAGCTGTTTAGCGGTCTTTGTAGTTCATTGACGTAGTACGTATACCTTAACCCTACTCCTAACCCAGAGGCCATAGCAACCGGGGGGGGGGGCTGCAACTCCCCCCAATTATTTGCTAATAATCATTATTTTTTCCAAAATCATGCAGCCTTTATCATTTAAATAATATACCTTTAAAATACTGACAATTGATTAATTTTTAGCGGCTACATTACCCATGACAAACTGCAAAGAATGAAGATATTTCTCATACTTTCCTGCAACTTATCCAACATATATAGTTAATTAAATACGCCTTTGCCCATTTAGTGCTACTAAATTGTAAATTTCGACATACTAAACGGCTGTTTTCGGACCATCAGAATTCTGTCAAATCTTCTCCAAAGTCCAGGAAATGGCATTTCAGAGACTCTAAATTTAAAAATTTCCTCGGGCCTTTGGCCCTCGCTTTCAGCTACCCTAACCCTACTCCTAAGTACCCTATGCTCCTGACCTGATTTTACTTGTCAACGGAGAAGCTCTGCTAGGCATGTCCCGATCCTGCTAGGCATTTCCCGATTGGAGCAAACTACACTCTACAGTTTACTAGTTACTACACTCTTTGTCGCGAAAAGTGGTATGATTTTAGCCTCTTCGGCGCTCTGTAGCTTAATGGGTTAACCAAAAAATCTGACAATATCTCTAGTTAACCCATTGCACCCTACTTATTTTTTTACTTGTTTAACACCAGACGATTTTACTCGCTGTGACAGAAAACTCTGCAGCTTAATTAATGGGTTAAATAGGCATACATATTAATTGTTGAAAGCACAAGTAAATGAAAGATCTGATGCCTTTAACAACAAGTTTAAAGAGTTCATTTCTATACAGTACTGTACATTTATTATATTGTCGGTGGTGGTGGTGGGGGGGGGTTACTATTTTTTAGAACTCATGTGAAGGGGGTCATTGAATTTTTTTGTGATGCAGGGGGTGGGGCAGGACATTTTTTTAGTTGTTAATTGAATTTTGCCAGCCCACCCCCGGTCATAAATAATGAATGGTCCCGTATGCTTTAGTGAATATTTATACTTCCATAAACACAAAGGCCTGTTTACACTTGCAATTTTCACTGCGATTTCTACAACGATTTTTTGAAATCTCCAATGTACACCCTGCGATTTTGACTGCAACTTTGGTGCGACAACACTGCAATTTGCAGCGATTTTTTCATTTTACTGGCTTGTAAACTGAGTTAAATTTTCAATACTTCACTCAAGTTTACAAGCAATACAAAGATTTTGTTCTAATTAGGTTGTTTACGGCTGTTTTCTGACAAGTGGTTGGCTGTAGAAAAAAATTCCCCGACTGTTCGTCGCCTGTTAGTGACGTTTAATAGTGATTTTAATATGAGTTATGTCATGCAAAATGGTCTGAAACTTTCTGTATTGAACTACCACTCACTCACAAATTAATTAACTGCATTTATAATTCTATTGTAGATTTATACCTGTGCAATATTGCTTTTAAAAACAGCGTGAAAGTGAAGAATTGTAAATATTTAATAGCACTGTAATTCAAATAGCCGCCCTGATAGCCGCGCGTTGCATGTTGGTAAAATGACTTTCAACCAACATGCTTTGCGGCTCTAGCAAGATCGAGATTTTAAGTAGCTGTACGATTTTAGTCTGCTGCCTTGCTCGCTCGCTTAATACTCGCTCGCTGCGGCAGCAAATAACACTGTTATTTATAATCTCTATGGTAATCAGGGATGAATTTACTGGAGGGAGGGGTGTGTGCTATTTTTCGTGATAAAGCAAAAAAATTATTAGAGACAAAATGAGATACAGTAATTTGATAAATGAACTGTGAACAACAATTACAATTCAAATACTGTAGTCAAGCAAGACTTTGCAGTAGTGAAGCAAGTTGATGGGCGGGCGGCACACATGACCGACACAACTCTGCACCAGAGCTGGCAGAGCACCCCCCCCCCCCCCCCCCCCCC